AAGAAGAAGAAGAAGAAGAAGAAGAAGAAGAAGAAGAAGAAGAAGAAGAAGAAGAAGAAGAAGAAAATGCTGTATTTGGGTTGGGGGGCGGGGGGGGAGGGGTCGCTCAGTTACTGGAGTGCTTACAGGAAACCCTGAGTGTGATCTTCAGAACCACACAGATTGGGTGTTGGTACACACCTATAATCTCAGCATTTTGGAAGTGGAGGTAGGAGGATCAAGGCCATCCTCAGCTATATACAGGTATTTTGAGGTCAGCCTGGGCACTGTGAGACTCTGACAAAGAAAGAAGGAAAATGGGGGAGAGGGAGAAAGAGATGCATTTTGCTGCATACCAATTAATAAATGTATGATTTTCTAGGAAAAAACCACACATTTTCAAAACTAGTTTAAAAAATTAGAGAAAATTCTCACCGGGTGGTGGTGGTGGTGGTGGCAGCAGTGGCGGCGGCAGCAGCAACACACACCTTTAATCCCAGCACTCAGGAGGCAGAGGCATGTGACTCTCTGTGAGTTCAAGGCCAGCCTGGTCTACAGAGCGAGTTCCAGGACAACTACAGCTGTTACACAGAGAAATCCTATCTTGGGGGGAAATATATATATAATTCTAATGAGAGTAGTTGTGATATGAATATGAAGGGGGAAAGGTTGTCTAAATTTTAGTGCAAAAAAAAAAGGCCATATGTTATAGGAGAAGTCTATAATCCAAACAAACAAGAGGCAGTCATTTGGGAGGTCTTGATATAATACAGATGCCAAACCTTACCCAAGTGATCTCCATAGATGATGTAATTCTCTAGTACCCTGTGGTGGGTGGAATTCTAAAGTACAACTGGAAGAGAAACGGCCCAATAACAGCCAAGAAAATCTTGAAACAAAGGAATGAGAGAAAATTGGATTTTCTACATATCAAAATATGCTATAAAGCGACAATAAATGAGTGTATGCTACTGAGGTAGAAAAAACAAACAAACAAATGGAGTCAGGCAATAGAAGAGAGACTGATGTAGACCTGTGTATGGGAGTTGATAATGAACTAAAAACATTTCCAATCATTCTTTTCAAGGAATGACGTAGGGATAACTGACCTCAACGTGGGTAAAAATGAAGTTAGGGCCAAATTCAAAAAGGACTTCCAAGTGTATTTAAGTTCAGATCCTGTCTAAAGCATGTAAGAATTTCAGATAAATTTAGTAAGGTTCAAGGAAAGGTAACAAATAGGCTTTTACTGAACTCTTGACTTTCAGAAAGCCTTCTCTGAGTTGCTATGACAAAATCCCACAGACGGGTCAGTCCTTATTAGCACATGGTTTTGAAGGCTGAGAAGTTCAAGACTGAGGGACCAGAATTCTTGCTGTATCATTCCCTGGACTTCTAAGAAGAGAGAAAGTGATGGAGAAAGAAGAGAAAGAGCCAAAAAGGTACCAGACTCACCATTTTATAAGGAATCCACTCCCACAGAACTAGGCCATGGCCAGGGGCTGGTCCCCTCCCATCCAATACCCCTCCCATCTCTGTTGCATTGGTGGTTATGTTTCCAATACATGATTTCATGGGGACAAATCCAAGCCATAGTATTAGAACATGAAATAACACTTGGGGCATGGAGCTCAATGGTAGAGAATGCAAGAATATCAAATAACTCAGACACTATGAGAGGAAAGTTTTATTTATTAATTCGTTCAACAACCTATTGCATTGTTCTGGTCTCTGGAGTGCATTACTGAGTAATGAAAATAAGACTGTATTGAGCTTACATTTTAGTATGCATGAGAATAGATAAACAAGAAGATAATTGCCCACACTGTACCATGGAGAAGATAAAAACGGAGTGATAGCAATGGCCAGGGGAAGCCTTGCTAAAGAGGATGTGAAGAAGGACCCACTAGATTCATGGGGCATGTAAGGCTTTTACTTAAAGGTGTCAAATGACCTTATTTGTTCTATGTGTTTTTACTGAACCACTAAAATCCATGCAAGGTGTCTTGGTTATCAGGGAGCTCAAAGCAGAAATTCCACAGAGGGTTATTATTATTATTATTGTTGTTGTTGTTGTTGTTATCTGTTTTACTTGCATGTCTGTTGTATGCACACACATGGGAGTGTGCCTATGTGCAGGTGTGCAGAAGTCAAAGGACAACTTCGGGCATCCTGCTGTAGTTCTCTCCGCTTAGTCCTTTGAGACAGGGTCTCTCAGTGAACCTGGAGCTAGGCTGACATCCAGCAAGCCTGGCCATCTTCTTGTTGAACAAAGTGAATCAACAACAAAGTCATGTGTAAAGTACGGTTCCATGTATAGGCTCTCTAAAAACTCTACTATCTTAAATATCCATACAAAAGGTCCAAATGCACACAAAACCTACAACAGTGGCTGTTCACTGAGAGAGAGAATAAAAGTAAGCGGAGGGAGGACGACAGAGGACTTCTGCTTCTCCTCTTTCCACCTCCGTGCTCTGAACTTCTGTGGCTACAGCATGCTTAAATTTCTACCTGAGTGATTTTTGTGAACATATACAAATATATAGTGTGATCCGATTTTTAAAATGCATAGACCAGCTCTGTGTGGTGGCACATGCCTATACTCCCAGCAGTTAGGAGGTGGAAGCAGGAGGATCAGGAAGGAGTTCAAGGTCATCCTCCGGTTCCTGCCGGCATTCATCTGAAGTGTGACTTCCTGAGAACTCAAGAGTGATCATTCTGCTTGTCATCGGAGAAAAGACAAGAAGAAGGTGTGGAAACGAGAAGACAAGTTCGCCGGAAGAGCAGTCAGTTTGAAGCAGAGGAGTACTCAACTCATCCTCTACTCCAAAGCACCATCTCCCCTCTTCCCTCCCTCCTGTTACTACCAGGCCAGATGTGGTGGGCAGTGCATGCTTGTCATCCCGGAGCTCTGGAAGCAAAGGCAGGAGGATTGACAGTTTGAGGAAGATCACCGAACTGGGGGTGGGTGTGTGTGTGGGGGGGTGTGGGGTGTGGGGGGGCATCTCTGCAACTGTGAAGAAGTTGTCATTTGTGTTAAGACTGCTATTTTAAGGTCACCCACACCCCTTTAAGGAACCCCTCACCCATGTTCCCATAAGTAAGCCCAATAAACTCACTGATGCACCAAACTAGACTTGGGTATAATCATTACTTTCATTTGTCTTGAGCGCCCTGCCTGAGATGCTTACGAAAAGCTATCCCAGCTCCCCAAGATTCTTCTCACAGAAGACCAACAAACCCCAGAGAGCTCAGTCTACACTCCAATCACCTCAAAAAAGTAAATAGAGTGTTATTTTTACAATATTTTACTAAAATAAAAGTAACATTGGCCTTTATAGAAAAATAAGGAAGAAGATCAAAATCCCTTATAGTTCCATCACCCTGAAGCATGGCTTTTGACATGGTGGTACAAGTCCATTTTAGCATTGCTGAGACCGTATAGTCTAACATAAGCTGTAACATATGCGGTTCCCATGTTGCTGCGATCTGTTAATGACAGTAACTTGATTAACTTTATTGGCTGTGTGAATCTATGGCAGAAGAGTCTGGAGTTGGGAAGCGGTAAATCATAGAAGTTATTAGTACAGTCAACCACTGGGGACCAGTACTGTAGTGTCTGTTGGTTTCGGGACTCACATAGATGACCATGCACGGGCCTCCTTAACGTCTACAGCATCCCCTTGACCAGGAGACTCTAGATCCTGACCTTTCTGGTTTGCTTTTCCCAATCCCAAGTCAAGAAAAGGGAGATTAAATGTGCTTCTGGTAATCAGGCTCTGCATCTTCATCCGGAGCTTCAGGATGCTTGAGCAGTGAATAGGTGATTGTATTCTCAACCTTAGAGAAAGCAGAAATGAGCCCTTAGAGCTGCAGAGAGATCATGGGGAAAGTGGGGGGGGGGGAGGCGGGGGGAGCAAGGAGAGGCAGGGAGAGGGGAAAGGGCCCCACTGGGCTCACTCACCTCCGTTTTGTCAGCTCCTTCGAGATCAGGAGGATTGTCTGTGGGCAAAAACAAGTGATCAACTTGGGCACTGCTGGAAAAGAGGGCCTGGTGTGCTATTATTGAGGCTGCAAAACCAAAGCTCAAAGCAGAGCCAACACAAGGCTTGCCCAGGCCAACCCAGGCCTTCAGGCCGTGCAGTGCGGCGGTCTAGACCTCCTTCCCTGACTGTCTTGGAATCCAGCCTTCCCCGCCGCCCCACGCTGGCAAAGGGAAACACTCTTGCCGCCTTCTTTTCAGACAATTGTTGAAAAAAAAAAACTTGTTGCTGTTTCCCAGCAGCAAACCAGGCAGCTATGGGGCTCTGGAAGGTTGCAGAGGGGGAAATGTTTAGACCAGAGTGAAATCAGGACTTTTCGCCTGCCACACACTGTAGGGAGAAAAAGGACTGGACAAGCGCAGTTTATTCTTGATAAAGCATTGAAGAACCAAGAACTCTAACATTAAAAAGAAAGAAAAAGACAGAGGAGGAGAAAGAAAGAGGAGAGAAGAAAGACAGGGAGGCGAGGAGAGAGGGAAGATGGGAAAAAGACAATATTTCTCTGACAAATATCCCAAACGCCACTTTCTCTTATGGTTTTTGTCCTAAGTTCCTTTTGCCAGCATGAAACGCAGCCCCAGGGTCTGTAAACTGGCATTTTGGGAAGTGAGGGGAGAGGCTGGGACAATGGCTCCAGTCTCTTCACTCGCTCCCTGGACACAAAGAGCCCTGTTTGCCATGCTCCAAATTCTGCCCCCACAACCCGTTCAGAATTTCCCCTTTTAATACACTTCTTAGCAACAGCTGCAGCTAACGACGCCTTGAGGGGAAATCACCAACTCCGGTGCCAGGCTGCATAAATACCATAGGAAATGTGTTTATGCCAGAGCAGACAAAGCCAGACGAGGAGGTGAAGACAGTCGTACTTAAACTTTTTCTTTTTTGTAGACCTAGTTTGATCCTAGATGTGGATCCGCACAGCCCGGCTGAAGGAGAACGTGGACCTTGCTCAAAGCGAAGCTAAGTGAATGCCGTTTTGCTCAAGCTCTCATATCTGTTGGTTCTGCTCTGAGTCAGTACTCTAGTCCCCTGAAGCGGAATCCCCAAGGAAGTCTTTCTCCTGTCTGCTTCTGCTGTCATGGAAGCCCCCAGAGAAAACTCCACTCGCCTTTATGCTCTGCCTTTAACTACAGTCAAACAATCGCCTGAAATACTCCTGCTCCTTCTACATTCTTCTTCCTGCACCAGGGCTGAAAGGTCACTGGCTTTCACTTAGACTTACAAGAGTTCAGAGGTCATCCAAACCACCCACCTACCCATCCACTTCTTCTTCGACCCCATCACAGGAAGTGGTCTACTCCAGATTCAGTTGTATGATGGGGGAAGGATCAGACCAGGGTTTGATAAACCTGATCAGTGGGCATTAGGGCCAAGGTGTGCCCACAGAGTGTAACCTATGAATAGTTCTAATTCCCCAGAACATCCTCAACTCAAACCTCCTCTCAATAGCTACTAAAAATTGAGCCCTACCATGCCTACCTCTACTCCTCCACAGGGACACACTCCTGAAAAAATCTCCAGGGTTACCCGGGACCTCCTCCTTTCCTTGTGGGGGCCTCCCTTCTTAATTTTATTGGCCTCCATCATACAACCATTCAGCCTATCCTTTGCCAATTCCGCCACATCTCCCCAGAAAGATCCAAATGCCTCTGAAGTCTTGCTCTGGAAATATCTCCAGAGTCTTTGTTTGCCTAGAAGTTTAGTCACACTCCATCCTCTTTCTCTCTCTGGAATCAATGTTGCTTTTCTCGTCTCTAGTGGGATCCTCCTTAGGTCCAAGAGTTAGACTCAGAACTGACCAAGAGATTTGAGTCCCAGCCATCCTCCCACCACCCCCGACTCCTGCACTCCCACTGAACTCACACGAGCTGCTGTTTGCTGGCTCCGGTCCACATGGAGGCCCTGGGCTGACGGGCGCTGAGCCCGGAGAGGGCTCGCTGTACTCACCTAGTTCCGTGGGGAGGGTATCTCCCATTTCCCTGTGACCAGGGTTTCCTGGGAGAGCTAGGAGGGGCATGTAGGAAGTTAGTAGGATTATGGGATTATGAAACCTCAGGATCAAGGACCAGGGTCAGAACTGAGTTAAAAGCAACAGAGACCTTTCCCTCATTGTCTCCCTCTCTTCCCAACTTCCCAGCTCCTCTTCCCAGGAGCCTCTCCAGCCTATAGTGACCAAGAATACTCCAAAGGATGTCACAAAAAACACTCCATTGCATCTTTCTTAGGCTTGCCTGGCCTTTTAGAGGTGTGATCTTTTGGTTGGGTGTGATGGAGCATTGCCTTTATTCCCAGCACTCAGGGTGCAGAGACAAGAGGATCACTGTGAGTTAGAGGCCAGCCTGGTCTACATAGTGAATTCCCAACCAGATGGGACTAGTGACCCTGCCTCAAAAAAAAAAAAAGAAAAAGAAAAAGAAAAAGAAAAGGAAAAAGAAAAAGAAAAAAGAAAGAAAGAAAAAAAAGTATAATCTTTCTCTCTGCATCTCTCAGTATTTACTTATCACCCATACTGAATTCCTAACACTGTAAAGTGTGTTGTGAGATATTAGGTATTAGTTAGTAGTAGTATTTTCTCTTTCTCCGTGGCTTCAATTGGCCCGCCTACACCATTCCTTATTTCCATGCCTTGGCGACAGTTCCTAGAATGCCCTTCCACTTTGCTTGCTAATGGCTACCCCCAGACATCACCCTTCTCCACAGTGGTTAACAGCTTATACTTTGTGCTCTTTACTGTCTGTGAGACACTGGTACAAGGCTTCAACCTTACTCACTGTCGTAACACTCCTGTCAGGTGGGTCCCCCAGTGTTCTTTGTTTTTTCAGACTAGTAAACTGAGGCACAGGGGTTGAATAATTCCCTCAACATTATATATCTGCTGAGATGTGAGCGGGGATTCGAGCCACAGCAATCTGGTCCCTGTGTGTATTTCAATCACCACACGACACGGGCTCCCCAATGAAGCCTTCTCCAACTGCCCCAGCCAGCCTGCCTGCCACAGTTTAGATCTGAAATGTCCATTAAACTCTCATGCGTTAAATGCTTGGTCACCAGGTGGAATAATGGGAGGGAGCCGAAACTTTGAAGTTATGGACTGAGTAGGAAGTCTTTAGGTCATCAGGGACATGCTCTTGAAGAAGATTGTGGGATCTCCCATCTCTTCCTTGATCTCTTTGCTTGTATACTTCCTCTATGATATTCTAGCTTGTCACAGGCCCAAGCAATAGGGCCAAGATAACAATATGGATGAGTCCTACAAAACTGCTAAAATAAAGCTTTTTGTTTATTTACTTATATATTTTACGATGGGATTTGAACTTGTGATCCTCCCTGGCCTCCTGAAGGCTGAAATATATTTACCACCATGCCTAGCAACTCTTTCTCTTCAGAAGTGGATTGTCTGAAGTATTTTGTTATAGTGACAGAAAACTATTAAATTCATGGGGTTGTGGAATCTTCCCTTTTTAAAATTTTAGACGGGGTCTTGCTGTGTAGCACAAGCTGACTTCGCACTCATCCTTCAGCCCAGGCTGGCTTCAGACTCTTTGGAAAAAACAATCTTCAACTTATTTATTGTTGTGTGAGGGGTATATATCATAGTATATCTAGGGAGGTCAGAGGACACTTTTGTGAGATCAGTTCTCTCTTCCCACCGCACTCGGAGACCAGAGACTGAACTAAAATCACAGGGCTCGTACTGCAAGCACCTGTATTGACAGAGTCATCTCACTGGCCCTGGCTTCAGACTTCCGTTCCTCCTGTCTTAGCATCCTGGGATTACGGAACGCATTACCCCCTCCAGTTCATAATCACATTCTATCATTTCATTGCTCTCATCCCTTTTTGCAAGGATCCACTTGTATCTCTGTCTTCCTCACAATGCTGACAACTAGCTAAGGGTAGAAGTGGAACCTAACACCTACAGTGACCAGCGCAGGGTATGGGACATCACCAAGTTTGTTCAAGTCTTGCTTAACAGATGAATTTGTGAGTAGATGAATAAATATGATGGCATGATATTGTAAGCAAAGAAGTCTCTAACCCCTAGCTAGCCCTAGCTAAGTAGGAACTGATAATCAGAGGGTCCAAAGAGAGCCACCAACCTGGAGCCTGTTTCTTCTTGAGATAGATCAAGGATACTAGGATAATAACAATGGCTGCTACAGCAATTCCAGTGACAGCAGCTACAATTGTCAATACCGGTAAAGACCTGGTGGATTTGGGCCCTGGAAAAGACAGATATGAGGACAGGTAATAAGTTCTCTCTGTGTATCTACCCTTCCTCCAATGCTATGCCCAGTGTTTATTACGTAGAGTTGCTGTGTCCAGGTCACTCATAGGTGTAATACAGCACCCTGAAACCTCATCTGCATGGGTTTCTGTGAACAGACTTGTTCCTCTCCAATAACAAAGTGTTTCTACCAGACTAATGAGGTCACGCACATGGGCGAAGATGTAGTAGCAGAAGGGACAGCCCTCAGAGGCAGTGGGGAGGATGGATCTGAAGCCACCCAGAGTTGGTGGTACCACCACCATCAAGAGTGAAGGGCTAGTATATGAGACACAAGAAGTTACACTTTGCTGGGGATGTGTTGCTCTGATTGATTGATAAATAAAACGCTGATTGGCCAGTAGCCAGGCAGCAAGTATAGTGTAGGCGGGATAAGGAGAGAGGAGAATTCTGGGAAGTGGAAGGCTGAGTAAGTACCGGTAAGCCACAAGACACAAGGCAACTTATAGATTAATAGAAATGGGTTAATATAAGATATAATAACAGATAGCAAGAAGCCTGCCGTGGTCATACAGTTTATAAGTAATACAAGTCTCTGTGTGTTTACTTGGTTCTGAGCGGCTGCAGGAGCCAGGTGGACACAGGAAAACTCCAGCTACAACACTTCAGCTCTTTAGAATGTCTGGAATGTCTAGGAACTTGGAGGACCTTTGCACCAATGACAAGGCTCTCTTTCACTGCTGCCTTGTCACCCACCACCTGCAAGTGAAGAGCTCTGGGCTGGGCCCACTTGCCATCACTTGGCAAGGGCTTTGCAGCTCTCCTCTTTGCCTCCGATCCCAGTTCCTAGGTCTCCATGTGGGGCTACACAACTCTGGCCTTTGTCTGTCTCCTCTTCTCCCTTTCCAACATCTTGACAGAGTCCCCATACCTTGGACAGTGATGGTCACAGGCTGCGACGAGTGTTTTGTCTTTCCTAGAAGTCCCGTGCAGTGGTAATTACCACTGTGGCTGTGATTGGCTTTGGAGATAGAGAAGTTGCCACTGTAATGATGAAATTTCACTGATTTTCCATTCTGGTAGAATGTGACTTTGTTCAGGGGTTTGTTCCTCCAACCATGACACCTCAGCATGATGGTTTCTCCTTCTAGGAATACCAGTTGAGGGGTCTGGAGCAGCAGCCAGTCTGAAAGATACAAAAAGGACTCAGAGGGCCTTGGCTCAGCTCCGAGACCTAGGCCATCCTTTCAGATGGGATAGGATAGGCTAAGGGGAGAGAGCATTAGTTTGACATCAGACAATGTTGATCTCTGATTCTAGCTCCATTCATTTACAAGCTCTTCAGTCTTGGGCAAGTAATATAACTCTGCTGGGTCCCACCTTCCTCATCTGTGAAAATGGGCATGATCAGATTTTGTAGCTACAGTACATCTTGGTGCCTAATATTCTCCTCCCTCTCTTGAGAGAAGGCAGCTGCCATCCAGTCCTAACAGGAAGAATATAAGAGATGGAGGTGTAAGCCCTTTCTGGCAGCAAAGAGGAAGGAATCCAGTCTGATGGATATGAAGAGGCTATAACAGAGCCTTCTGTTTGGGGGTCAGAACATCTTGAACCTCCAAAATGTTGGTTTCCTTGATGAATAGTAACAGATGTGGAACTACAGTCCAACAGGGCCAGAGGCAAATCATTAGCTTGCTGCGTGCATACTTTTGAGGAAAAACTGGGATCCAGTGACAGGAGGGAACAAGGAGGGACAGTGACAATAGTCATCAATGCAGTCTCGTGGTGGCTTTTCTGTGGAGAAAGTCTACTTTTTGCCAGGAGCCTTGGAAAACTGTTGATCTGCTCAGCGAAGGTTTAGGAAGCCCTGCCCTGTTCCGGATACTGCAAATACCTCGGGAATGGATGAGACACAGCTTTTCACCTCAAGTGCCCACAAGCTGGCGGAAGAAAAAGAAAGCCAGGGACACCCAGGACAGTGAAGGCACGAGGCCAGGAAAAAGCCCATGCTCCCCTGGACCTCTGGAAAGAGGCCTTAGCACCCTCAGCTGAGCAGATGAGCAAGCTGAACTCAAGGTTAAATAAATTAATTAACCATATTTATAGAGACGGTCCGTCTCACAGCTTGGATTCAGTTGTGGACTATTGGCATTTTTTTCTGAGTGTCGTGTAACAGAAGGGTTTCTATGAAATAGGGACTTCCTTTTTCTGTCACATTCAGCTAGCGGTCTGTCTTTGTCCTTGAACTTCTCTTGCTCAATCAGGACTACCACAAAAAAGAAAAAAAAAAGATTCACACATGCTGAAGAATTTCTCAGGAATTTGCATGCCCTCCACGTGCACACTAAGCATAAGGATGGGTGAAAAGGGAAATGAGTGGACAAAAGCCCTTCCAAGCAACTCACAGCGATGCTTCCCAGAAACCAGGCGACCCCTTTTCCTGCAAATCTTGCAGTAAGCAGATCCACCCCACCCCACCCCCAACTTCCTGGTATCCCAGCTCCTCCCTGGGCCTGTGTCTACTGACCAGAAATCACTCCCAGATGTACAGGGTCGCTGAGGCTGGTCTGGCCCGTTTGACACTGGTATTCTCCACTGTTATTGGCTGTGGCTTTAAACGTGTAGCTGGGATGGACCTGGCTGCTGATGGATCTCCCATTGTGGAGCCACTGGGTCGAATCATTCCCAAGGTTGGGGGTCCCTTCGCATTTCAGTGTCACACTGTCTTCACGGAGCACCTGGATCCATGGGGGCTCAAGTTTCACCACAGCCTTCGGGAGATCTGCTGAGTTTCGGGGAGAGAGAAGGCATCTTGAGGCAAGGGAGCCCCAAGAGCCCAGATTAAAAAGGCAACAGCATTCCTACTGAGTGCATCAAGGGTGGGACCCCGCCCAGAAAACTTCTTCCACTAAATTCTTCTACTCATTCCTTCCCGCAAGCCCCAGGGAACTCAATGGGAATGTAATTGACCCTCGGCAGAGTGGAACAAGAGAGAAGGTTGGAGTGGACTTTCAAACCCAACAGACACTTCCGGTGCCTGTTTAACTTTTCAAAGCGGACCTGGCCCTCAGGTTCTTCCAGCATCCCTCAATCCCTACCTGGTATAGGGTGTGGCTGGCATACCCCACCCCATACCCTGAACTCTTTTTCTTTATTTTTCTTTTCTTTTTTGTTGTTGTTTTTGTTGTTGTTTGTTTGTTTGTTTTGAGACAAGGTTTCCCTGTGTAACAGGCCTGGCTATTCTGGAATTCGCTTTGTAAACCAGGCTGGCCTCAAACTCATAGAGATCCACCTGCCTCTGCCTCCCGAGTGCTGGCATTAAAGGCGTGCACCACCACGGTCCTGGTTTACCCTGAACTCTTTAGCCTAGGGACTGGGCTGCCCTTCCCCCAGAGGCTCTTCCCTATATCATCCAGACATTTTTGGTTACCCGACCTTTTTGTACATTTGGCCTCCTGGCTGCTACACGAGGTTCGCCCCTTGCCCTTCCCCTTCCTCCCTCTCCACATGGCCCAGCTCAGCCTGGTCATGTCCACTCTGCTCTCTCCCAGATGTCCCTGCCTCTGACTGTGCTCTCCCACATATCTATAACAAACTTTCTCCTCCACCACACCTAGGAGCAGTCATGTCCTTTCCTTTTTATTTATCTATTTGTTTTCATTCAGGGGCAAAGGAGACACCCCAGAAATGCATATCTTCCACCAAGGTATATTTAAGCTTCTCTTCTCCCTCCCTCCCTCCCTCCCTCCCTCCCTCCCTCCGTCCCATTACTTGCTTCTTCTGCATGCAGATGGCTTTCTCTGACCATAGACCAGGCCTTGGGGCCCTGGGCTGGCTAGTCATATGTCAGCTCAACACGCAAACTAGATTTCCATGAAAGGAGGGAGCCTCAGTTGAGAAAGGGCCTCTATAAGACCTGCCTGTAAGGCATTTTTTTAGTGAGCGATTACTGGGGGAGGGCCCAGTCTATTGTGGGAGGTGCCATCCCTGGGTTGGTGGCTCCAAGTTCTGTAAGAAAGCAAGGCTGAGCAAGCCATAGGAAGCAAGCCAGTAAGCAGCACCCCTCCACGGCCTCTGCACCAGCTCCTGCCTCCAGGTTCCTGCCCTGTTTGAATTCCTGTCTTGACTTTCTTTGATAATGAACAGCAATGTGGAAGTGTAAGTCAACTAAACTGTTACTCCCTACTTGCTTTTTGGTCATGGTATTTTGTTGCAGCAGTAGACACCCTAACTAAAATAAGCCCTGAGACCCATGCAAAACAGCGGACTTAGCAACACATGGGACAGTCTAGACAGACAGTCTATGTGCTAGAACCTTATTCAGAGAGCGAGGACTTTGGGTCTGTCTATCTATCTATCTATCTATCTATCTATCTATCTATCTATCTATCTATCTATTTATTTATTTGCAACAGGATTTCTCGGTGTAGCCTTGGCCATCCTGGAACTTGCTCTGTAGACCAGGATGGCCTTGAACTCAGAGATCCACCTACCTCTACCTCCAGAGTGACCCATACAACTGTTTTAGTTTGATTTTTATCTAATGCAACTTTGAAATATCTTTGATACCTAATAACTGTATATATTCACAGGATACAGTGTGATGCTTCAGTACATGCACACAATGGTGTGATCATTTGGTTACATAATGGTCAGAGTGATTTGCTTGTCTATCACCTCACACATTGTCTGCTGGTATTAAGAATGTTCAAATCCTCTATCCTAGCTACTGTGAAATATACAATTAATTGTCAACCATAATTACCTTTTGTGGTGCTCTGAACGAAAATGGCCCCCCATACAACCATAAGAAATGACACTATTAGGAGGTGTGGCTTTGTTGGAGTAGGTGTGGCCTTACTAGAGGAAGTGGCCACTGGGGGTGGGCTTTGAGGTCTCAGATGCTCAAGCCAGGCCCAGTGTCACTCTCTTTTCCTGCTGCTTGCTGGTCCAGATGTAGAACTCTCAGCTACCTCTCCAGCATCATGTCTGCCTGCATGCCACCATGCTTCCCACCATGATGATAATGGACTAAACCTCTGAACTGAAAGCCAGCTCCAATTAAATATTTTCCTTTCTAAGAGTTGCCATGGTCATGGTGTCTCTTCACAGCTGTAGGAACCCTAACTATAGCACATTAGCTAGCCTTCTTGCTATAGCACATTAGAACTTACTCCTCCTGTCTAACTCTACCCCTGTACCTATTAACCATTTTGTCTCCATCCTTCCCTCTCCTCCACCCTTCCCAGGCTCTGGTCATCTACTCTCTGCTTCTTTGAGGTCAATTTTTTAGAAGCTCTTGATTTTACTTAGAGAGTGGAAGGCAGTTGGGAACAAGGACAGACTTCTCATTGTGATAATTGGCCCACATTTCACTATAACAGAACCAGAAGAGTTGATAGACTAGTGAGCTGTGCTTTTTGACCACCTGCCTCCCCAGACAGAGGGAGGGAGGAGAAGGACAGGGCATCTGCTGCGAACAATGGCCCTTTCCTGGTCCTGAGCTTGGTTGCTGGTACATTCTGAGCAGTTCCAGGCAGATCCTGGGGGAAGAGGGGGGTGACACACAGGAGAGGGAGAAGATATGAAAAGAGGACTTACCATGTGTTCCAGCAACAAGATCTGTAAGAAAGGAAGCAAACATCAACCAGAGCCTGGACTTCCATACTGAGACATGCCTGCCCAGACCCAGAACCCCTTCATCCCCATAACTCAACCTTCATGGCATGGCCCTCCCCTGGGACTGCCTAAATGAAGTACACTTTCAGAAATTCTTAAGCTCTATCCCCAGTAACATCTGTTTGGTCTGTTTAAAACACCCTTGATAATGAGGAACAAAGCTGAAAACAGAGATGGATGCCATCTTCTGGAGGACGGCCGTTGCCATGTGAAATGGCATCAAGTGAGAACACACACAGAATCCATATGTTAACTGGACACCGTGGTGGTTAATATTCATTATCGACTTGACTAGATTTAGAATCACCGTGGAAACATCTTTCATTGTGTCTAAAAGGATGTTTCTGGAAAGGTTTAACTGGAGTGGTAAGGCCCATCCTGAATACGGGTATGACCATCCAATGGGCTAGGGGCCCAGCCGAAAAAACAAGGGGAGGAAGCCAGTTGCACACCGGCATTCCTATCTCTCTGCTTCCTGACTGTGGGTGTGAGGGGACCAGCCCAGGCTCCTGTCACCATGCCTTTCCACCACAATGCCCTCCGATCACATGCTGAAATAAACCCCTCCTTAAGTTTTCGCCTGGTGCTTTGTCAAAGTAATGAGAAAAGTAATTAAATACAACTGATAGACAATGACCTGGCAGAGGTAACTTTACTTTTCTCTACTCTGATCCCCTTGCTTATCAATGGAAATGATGACAACAATACCCGTGCCATAAATTGTTGTCAGGATTAAGCGATAATCCAGATGTGGCATCTGTGTGGTGCCAAAGGCACCTTTATAAATGATCGTGAGCAAGTTTTCGAAGTTTGCTGTTGTCCAGTAAACAATGAGAAGTTCATGTTGGGGCTGAAAGTGCTGTGTCAGACCAATTGGGACAGAGGAAGTACCAGAGATTACCAAGAAAAAGATGGTGATCTAGAATGCATGTTTATGGCTGTGCAACATCTGGCTTCTTCATCCTTGACTTTCTCATCTGTAGTGAACCTTCTCTCATACAGAAGAAGCCACACAGGCCCATGCTATACCTCAAGGCCTTGTGATCATCACTCCAAACCACATCAGCTTCAAAACCACAAAATCAGATGGTCCAGGCTTCACTCACCACAATAATCCTCCTCCTTTTTCCTTCCATTTGCACAAGTGCAGCCTCTGTACTCAGCTGACCACTACTTTTATCTCACTACTGTCTTCCTCTAAGTCTACACACACACACACACACACACACACACACACACACACCTAGCTTAGAGTCCATGATTCATCATTAGCATCAGCTCCTTGCGAATCCCTTTATCCTTTTGTTGCTGTTGTTGTTGAGACAAGGTCTCATGTAGCCCGAGCTGGTTTCAGATTTGTCAGGTAGCCCATGTTGGCCTTGAACTCTAGTCCTTCCTGTCTCTACTTCCCAAATACCATGAGTGGATCCCCTTAACTTATTTGCCCTTTTTGACTCTATCAAGTGCATTGATATTCCCCCATGACTTTGCTTGCTCATCTGCACTGACAAGAAAGTAAAGAAGCCACACATGTGAGAAACTTAAGAGGCAGGACTGAGAAAAACTGGCCTTTAATGAGGCATGAAGTTGATAAATGTGGGTGACCAGAAGAAAGATGGCATTGCTCATGCAAGTAGAAATATTAGAAAGATAAGAAAACTTGTAAGGAAGTGATGCTACGTTAAATTTTGAATATAATTTTGTCTCTAAGCTGACAAGTCTGTTTATGGATGTCTAATTGACAGGCAGAGAAATTAAAGTATACAGAGGAAAAAGGACAAATAAGTTTGGGAGCTAGCGACATATAAGTTAAGAACTGAAAACCCTGGGTATGTGGGATTAGCAAGGGGGTTAGTACAGCACATGAAAAGGAGGGAAAAAACCAGACATGTGAAAGGGAGAGACCATCATCTCTGCCTTCCTTCTATACCCAACAGATAGGAAAACTACGTTCTTGTCCAATGTACTCGTTAGAAGGAAGACGAAGACCTTGTACTTTGCGTCAGGAAAACTGCCTGTTTTGTTCATTGACATGACCCCAAATCCCGAGCAGTGTCTGCCACAAAGGGCTTAAAGAATCAGTGGCACACGGGTAGCAAAAGCCGAGTGTGGCGTCGACACTGCCTGGCTGAGAAAGATCCCCCGGGGGGGTGAAACGGGAGTACAAAGAGCAGGGCAGTACTGGAGCTTTCTCAGGATTTATTAGAAAGCACTGTGCCTCCCCACACCTCTACTGGAAGATTCCATAGCTACACAGGACCAAAGTCAGGAGCAACCAAGACACAGTCAGAGGGTGTTATAATATTGAATCAAGTGATGAAGTCCTAAGGATGGAGGCCCAGAAAACAGTAGGAAAAAAATAGAGATTTAGCAAAAGAAAATGGAAGAGAATGCCATTCTTGGGAGTCTTCACCAGGTGATTGATGGCTCTGTAGCACAAATAGAAAGGCATATTGCCTTTCTCGGACTGAGCCTTTCCATGTGAAAACTAAGCTCTCTGGTGTCACTTCAATATACCTACTTGTGGGAAATAGTCTCTCTTCCATCCCTCTCCCCCTGGCAGCCACATCCCACTCGGCATTGACAGCTGCGGTCCCTCAGGGCTGACCAGATTTCACTATGAGTCATAGCATGTAACCTGGGGCAGTAGGGGGGGGGGGTGGGATGGCTATATGCCTTCCTCTCAGAAGTATGGGTAGAAGCCCCAGAACTGAACTTAGAAGATAGTCCTGCTATAGGACTCCCTTCCTGGACTTCACCCAGACTCTTCTAACCACCCAGTACCGTCAGTTTCTGTCCTCTGGCCCACAGGTGAGACCAGGACCAGAAAAATCTTCCTCCGTCTCTGCCTAAGACCCCAACCCTGACTTTCTTACTGTACGAGCCAAGCCCCATGGTCTATGCAGTGAAGGAGGCAGGAGGGACTTCTCTGGCCCCACAACTGGCAACTCCAGACTTGCCCAGGTTTGTGATGCTCTAAACCTAAATTCCCAGGACAACCCTGATCTTCCTGTGCCTCTCCTTATATATTAAAGGGGGGGCGGGGGTCTTCTGCTGGATGGAGTGGCTTCATGGGCACAGAGAATAGCCACTGCCACCCCCTCAAATGCATCTTAGAGCTTCCTCACAGCCCTTGTCTAAAGCAGCCAGCCCTAGACATCTCGCCTAAGATTTGGTCCTGTATGAACTACAAATTCAAAGGGAAACCAGTCGCTTAGTTTATCCCTCAAGTCTAGGACATTAGATTCGACTCGGAGAAGGTTCTGATGGGGAGGGTGACGGTGCCTCAGGGACCTGGGTACTGAATGACAGTAAGTTCTAATGGGAAAAGGGGTAGTGCGTCAGGCCGGGTACCAAGTGGCAGGAAAACGGGCAACAACAAAAACTCCTGCCAGCTTTGGTTTTCAAAGGTCAGGCAGGTTGTTTCAGCCTGGTTACTAACCTTCTACCCACTCTGGATTCTGCTGACATGCTTCCTGTGCTGTGTCCATCCCTGCACAAGTCCAACCCCAACCCTGCCTCCCTTCTGGAGTCCCTGACTTACGGAGCACAGCTGTCCACAGCAGCACATGGGCCAAAGTCTGTGAGAGTGGGTGGACAGCCCAGTGGCTCTCCACGGGGAGAGGTAGGGATGATGGGATTCGCATCGTCTCCGGAGCAAGGCGGCTGCAGGCACAGGCTTCTCTCTAGCCTTGGCAGACTGTACCCAGAGAGCAAAATCTGGAGTCCAAATGCGGAAGTCAAAAGAAACGGTCTGTTTAATCATTGGCTCCTCCCCTTCCACCCTCTTTCCTTTCATCTGTTCCCTACTAGAAGACTCAGGACCGACCAGAGTCAACTTGGTTCAGCTCAGGTCACAAAAATTTTAGAAACTGAGAATCAGTTCCCCTCTTGTTCTGCTGGAGTCAGAGCTGACCTGGGCCTCGGACAGGGAGATGGCCACCCAAACTCAGTCCACAAATCATTTCTGTGTTCCTCAAGAAAGGCGATGAAGTATCGTAGACAAGAATCTTCTGGTACTTCTTTTCAGAGGCCCAGTCTCTGGAATCTGGACTCCTCCTGAAACTGAGCAAAGTTACCTGAGACCTCCTACCCTCGTGTGGGTTTCTCTGTCATCGTAATCCCCAGCACCCTGCTGGACTGTAGACAAAAAGCAAGAACATATATTAGAACAGCAATACGAGAACATTCATCCTCCACATCATCTAATCTCCCTCTGCTCACTCCTCCGTTCGCTCAATGAACATCTCAGTAAGGACCTACTAAGCATCAGTTTGTGCCCTGGTTCTTAATCCTGATCATTTTTTCCCCACCACTATTCTTACCACTATGGCTTGATAAAAGATCATAGGTTTCCCAGCTGTAAGACTGAGTTTGAGTATTAAGGAGCCTCAGAGAACTCCTGACTCCTGATTGTAAAATGAAGATTAGCATTTCTACCCACTCAAATGAAGTTTCTCAGCTTCTGCAGCACCGATACTTTTAGCAGAAAAAAAAAAATTAAGAAGTGGATTGTTATGTAACCCAGGGTGGCCTGGAACTGGCTATGCAGCTCAGGGTAGCCTCAAGCTTGAGTTCCTGCGACCTCAGCCTCCAGGGTGCAAGGATTGCAGGGGTGCACCTCCACCACACCAGTTATCACATAACTCTCCTGAGGGCTTGCCCTGTGCATTGTGGGGTGTTTAGCAGCACACCCTGGGGCTACCCATCAGGCAGCAGTGATATTTCTCAGCCGTGAAAGAAAGGAGTCCCAAGACTTTGGTAAATGTTCCCCAGATAAGGTGGGCAAAACTGTCACTGATGAAGAACCAATTGCACTCGAGGTCACTGGAAAACGAAGAGACTGTGGACGTATCATGAGTGGATGCTGGTTTTGTGTTTCTTGCCTCCTGTCCTCAGATCCTGAGGTGCTCTGGGATCAATCCTGGAGCCCTCTTCTGGGGCCTCTTTCCTCAGATCCTGAGGTGCTCTGGGATCAATCCTGGGGCCTCTTTCCTCAGATCCTGAGGTGCTCTGGGATCAATCCTGGGGCCTCTTTCCCAAACGCCCTTTCAGGAAACAAGCTGTAATACTCAAGGAAATGACATTATAAAACCGTCTTCCAGTCTGTGGTGTTCAGAAACCTTCAGCAGTTCCCCCATCTACCAAATGACTTTACCACTGGTGCCACATTACCTCCCAGCTCCACCCCTGCCAGCTCTTGGCTGATTCTTAGCCTATGGGAAGGGAGCAATGGATGGCATCAGTTTAAATATCGTTAGCAATGAAATATCATTAGAATGGAATTAATTATCATTAAATATCATTAGAAATGAGAGCATAAGAACAATATATAGTTAACATACCAAGAAACAAAATCGATAGTTATTATGTAAACACAGGAATGCTAACTATGAAGGACGCACTTGACTTACCTGATTAACACAATTCCAGAAGGAAGTATTATCATCCTCCGTAAGCACATGAAGATCCTGTGGGACAGAGTCAGAATACGAAGCCGGGTGTGTTCAGTAGTCAAGGTTTCAATCTTACTACAACATTCAAGCAGCTTTCCAAACCCTCCAGGGACTGCCTTTGTGCCTGTGTTCTGAACTTTTGCACTAACCTTTTGTCTTAGGGTTTCTATTGCTGCAACAAAACACCATCACCAAAAAGCAAGTTGAGGAAGAAAGGATAAGGAAGTCAGGGCAGGAACCTGGAGGCAGGAGCTGATGTAGGGGCCATGGAGGAGTACTGTTTATTGGTTTGCTCTCCATGGCTTGCTCAGCCTGCTTTCTTAGAGAACCCAGAACCACCAGCCCAGGGATGGCACCATCCATGATGATCTGGGCCCTCCCCCATCAATCACTAGTTAAGAAAATGCCTTACAGCTGGATCTCATGGAGGCATTGTCTCCATTGAGGTTCCCTCATTTCAGGTAACTCTAGCTTGTGTCAAGTTGACATAAGACTACCCAGCATAGCCTCTGAGTGTCCCTCAGGCTTGTGAATGGCTTGATGGCACAGTTGTGCCAGCTGAGAAGAGCCTCATTTGTTTACATAATTTGTGTGGTTTTCTCTAAGTGTCCAGATGTGAAGATGGCCGGAAAGTGTTGCATGCTGCACATATTACTCTTTTGAATTTCTCAGGCCCAACCATTTCACTGAGATGGAAGAATAAGACAATATCCTTCAGACAACCTATTAGTGAGGTAGTCACAAAGCCAGCTAAGGCATTTCCAGGAACGCTAAACTGAAGCCAAACTAGGAGATGCTGTCCCATCAAAGCTGGGAAAGGACTACAGAGGAGACATTTGTAAAAGGAAATGCTTACAAACATAGAGATGCACAACCGAAAACTGAAAAATGCCAACCAAAAAGGAAAATTCCTCAAAGGGGACATGTGTTAGAAAGTGTATTTCTAGTCCTGGAAAAGGTCTAAGTGGCAGAAAAATCATGAAAGTCCACTGATGAAGAACAAGATGGCCAAGTGTGATAGTATACACTTGTAATCTCAGCAATCAGGCGACTGAGGCAGGAGGATGGACATAATGATACAGGGCTACTCTGGGCTACATAGAAAGATCCTATCTCAAAAAAAAAAAATTAAAACAAACAAGAACTACAACCCGAGATCACAGAGACAGAGACAGATCAAAAGCCTGATCCTTCCGCAGACATACAGACATACAGTCCCGGATATATGTTTCATGGTTTCCAAGCTCTGTGACATGGAGATTTTCTTGGTGTTAAAACACAAGCCTGCGTCTTGAGGCCTGACACCAAAGCCTGAATCAGCTGCGCCTCTTTGCAACTCTCTGGGACGGAGTTAAGAAGCATCCTGTGCTGTGACTCGACAGCTTCCAGTTCCAGGCTCCCCCACGTTTCGTCACACGTGCTGTGGTGAACCAAATCATGTCAGAGGACACGTTCGCCACCTTGGACAGTTTACAAAGAGTCACACTTTTCCTTTGTCCTGGGGATCAGTCTGAGACTCCTCGTAGGGATTTGGTCCAGAGGTGAATGAAGTCTGATGCTCTCTGAAGAGGCTGTTCTGTCCTGTCCCGACCAGCCCTCTCATGGTCCCACCACAATCCCCACCTCTACCCCCACCCCAGTCTCTCTCTTATTTCACTATTACTGAATCTCTGCTCCGAGCTCTAAAAGGAAACTCCCTTTCTCCCTGTAATGCCCTACCATGTTTATAACTCTGTATGTAATGCTGTCTCTGCTGGATGCTCTCCCTCCGTAACAAAACTCATTGAAGGGAATTCCAGGGCAGCTTCTGCTGTAGCCTTTGCTTTGCCACCTTCTTCTTCTTCTTCTTCTTCTTCTTCTTCTTCTTCTTCTTCTTCTTCTTCTTCTTCTTCTTCTTCTTCTTCTTCTTCTTCCTCTTCTTCCTCTTCTTCTCCTTCTCCTTCTTCTTCTCCTTCTTCTTCTCCTCCTCCTCCTCCTTCTTTTAAACAGTATTTATGATGTTGTGAAGATGAAAACGAAAATGCGTGAACAGAGGTCCACTTGAAAGTTGGCCAATTCCCTCTAGAAATGCTGTCATTAGAGACTGGAAAAGTCTAGTTTGCTGCTTCCAGCTTCCCGTAGCAACTGTGTTTACTGTCCCAGACTGAGGAGGTAAGTGCTGTCAACTTAGATGGTTCCAACTCTTGACTTTCTCAGATCCTGCATCTTCTCTGCATGTTCTTTCTTCTTGGTAAAGTTTTGTTTCTCTTCCTCTTAACATCCTAACCACCGTTTCAGTGGATCCCTGTGATATGACTTTATCAGTCCCCTATGGGTTTCCTGGTGACAGCCACTTCCCTGGGAACTGAGTCTCCCTAAACAAAGCAGATGTCAACTCCAGGGAAGGGCAGACCACCAAGAGGGAGTCAAGGTTGATGGCTGAGTTAAAGAGGCTCTGGTTTAGAGATCTCAGCTAGATCCAAACACCAGCATCACCCACCAAGGGCATCAGGTCTCTGTGTTCAAACAGCACCATCTCCAACAACCTTTTAGAAATGCAAATGTCCTGGGCTTTGTGGATCATTAACTCCAGAATGTAAATTTGTTCACAGGTCACTTTTCTTGAGAGCAGCGACAGGCTGATCAGGTCTGATGAGAAGTTGGATGGTGTCGGGGAGGGGAGTAATAGACAGCTATTTCTAAGGAAGCCAAGACCTTTGACGTAGTGAAGGACTTAAACTACAAGGCAACGTTTATCTCTAATCACCTGAGGGGGTGGGAGGGGGACAGAGCAAACTTGATTTTTGGCCCAACAATGAAACCACATAACCTTGAGCAAAGTACCACTTCTCTGGACTTTAGGAATTGATGGTGATGGAGTGCGTATTTTTTTTTTTTTTTTTTTTTCAGATGGGGGTGTTTTTTGAAAAAAAAAAAAAAAAAAAGGCTTATTGGCTCACTCTAACTTGTAACCACCCTGGTAAGAGAGGCAATAGACCAAAATGACACTTGCACACCTATCATACCACTGAAACGTGGACAATCTCCTGGGCAATGACAGGAGAAAGCCCCGGTGCCAGCCAGAAGAGGAACTTGCCTCCCAGGAAGAGAGTTCTTGAGGTTCTGACAGGTTATGGGCAGGAGAGATTGAGACCACAATAACAATGAGTCAGTGGTGGGCAGGACCACACCTTAGCCAGGACTGACTAATAATACATAGCTCTAGTCCTCTGTTTTACACCTCATGTCAGTATCCACAGAAAGACTAGGGAGGCCACTGAATTTCAATATTTGTTCCTTTCTTGGCTAGTTTTACGTCAACTTCACAAAAACTAGAATCATCCTGGAAGAGGGAACTTCACTTGGGAAAATATCCCCACCAGATAGGCCTGTGGACAAGCCTGAGGTTCATTTTCTTGATTGGTGATTGATGTGTGAAGGCCCAGCTCGTTGTGCGAGGTGCCACCCCAGGGCTGCTGGTCCTGGGTGCTACAAGAAAGCAGGCTGAGCAAGCCATTAGGAGCAAGCCAGTAAGCCCCACGCCTCCGCGAACTAGTTCCTGATTCCAGGTTCCTGCCTTGAGTTCTTGGCTGGACTTCCCTAG